ACTTTCAATGCCAAACCGCATACGAAAACATCCAATGTTTTTGTAAAATCTATAGCCGTCTTCGCAACTTTTCTACTAAGAGAATATTTTTCAGAGCTGTCAAAGGGCAAACATGCTTAGACCGTTTAAGAATTTTATACTGACCAAGAATATACATACTTTATAGTGTCCCGGAGTCTGTTTTTGGTGTTGCAAACTTTGTGACGAAAGAGACGCATACCTAACCTTCGGTAATTGGCATCATAAGCACGTGAGATATCTAATGTCTGGTGTCTAGTGTAAATATTCTGCGCCATGCTATAGTTGTTCATACAATAAGTTTTTCAAATAAGGCGTTATGGAGAAGTGATCAACAAAAGTGGTTCGATTGAAGATTTTCTGTAGCGTTCATTATTGTTTCAAAACAAGCCTGTGTGCCAAATTTCAAAATGTGCGGCCTGTACGTTGAGCACAAAAAAACAAGACGGGCAGACGGACATTAGTCAAAATTACTGCTTAAGCCGACCAGTATAAGAAATGGGGATCAAGTTCTTCTGGATGTTGTATACATGCGTACAATCTTAACGTAGCCTTATACCGAAAGTGTTGTTGGATATAAAAATGAAAATATTTAAATGGATCCCATATTGAAATATTTTGAAATTTTTGGCATCTTTTAGATTTTGTTTCTAAAGATCATCAGTTCATCGAAGTCCTGAATATGAAAGCTTTGTTTCTACATTTGCTTTCAATTGTGGCATGCTTGTGAGTTCGATGAAAAAGTGAAGGAAGTACAGACAAGATACGCGCTTTATGCTATGTCTTATATCTGCTTCTGGGTGATAGAAACCAAATAACGCTATTAGTAGATACTTGATAAATAAAAGAAGCGAAGAGCTTAAGCAAATCTTAATCCTCCAATAGAAAGTCTATTTTGTTAATTATGGATTTGTTTATTAATTATGAGTCTCCAATTAGTTTGACACAAATTATGTATATGACGTCTAAGGCTAGTATACCGAGCGAGTACCATGCAAAAGGTGAGCCAGGAGCAAAAAAAACCTAGCCAAAGCGCGCTATGAGTTCCTTCCGCCAGGTCAAGCTGTTAGCAAGGAATATTATTGCAGTGTTTTGAAGGTAGGATAAAAGGCGGTTAACTTGATTTGGAAGAATAAATAGGTTTAAAAAAGAAGAAATTTGATTGGTCATACTTTTTGACCATAGTCTGAGGTTCATATACTTATCTTAAACATTTATATGGTTTGTAATCAGGTTATATAATATTATATAATTGATCCTTTTGTCTATCTAAAAATATTTCAAATTAGTAGTTGATTTTCATCATAAAATTGGGATTAAAATAGTTCTATTTGAAAATTCAGTTTTTGAAAATAAAACCGAGATACACACGTACGTAAAGGTTGCTTTACGACATGCATACAGTTGAAGATATAATATAACTAAAAGCTTCGAACGGATAGGCAAAAAACACTATATTCGCATCCTACGATTATGATTAAAAAAAAAGAAAAATAATGTGTAAGCAGAAGAAATATGTAAAATAAGTACGAGTAACGTGTTGCTTGTTAGAAAGGCAATCCAACAGCTAACAAAGTTTTCAAAAAAAAAAAAAACAAGAAAAGAGAATTAAAATTAAGTCAGCAGGAGGAAAAACTATGAAGAATACCATTTAAAAAACAAAATTCAAATATACCATAATAACCCTCAGAAAAATCCAAAAAGTCAAAAATAGAGTAAGTAGAAACTGTTAGAAACAGTATAAATAAAAAAGAGAACAAAAGCTTTTCTACCCTTAACTCTTCACGGCGATAAAGAAACTTAAATTGCTATAGAGAGAAAAACGAGACACAGAGAAATCGAGAGAGGGAGAGATAGAAAATAGTTGGTAGTTAAACGAAACTCACCATTACACTGCTTCTATTGACTCTATGGGACTGAGGAAAATTTTCACAACAACGTTACGGATTGTGGAGCTAAACGGACGTGCAATAGGAACGTTCATAACGCAAATAAAACGTGAATGTTTAGAACATATACATATATATTGTATATATATATATTTGTAAAAATATATATAAATAAATTTAAAAAAGTAATAAACCCCAGAAAAATGCAAAAAAAGCAACAAAAACATTATATAAAAATCAATCAATTTGTAGAAATTTGTGAAGACATGTAAAAATCTCGTCAATCGAGGAAAATAAATAAACTATATTGGAATTTAAAATTATTTAATTCATATAAAAGTATTTACATACAATGAGATATTAAGATATTTACATACAATGAGAAATTAATTTTATTTAATTTTTTTCAATTTTCAATATACACATTTACATAACAAGAGAAAAATAAAATTAAGAAAAGATTTGTGTGCGGTTTAAAGAAAAAAAAAGCAAAGACAAAATACAAAGAAACCTTTTCTGTGTTAAGAGAAAAACATGCAATGTTTGCAGTCAGGCATATATATAATCAACTTTGATGGTTATAAAACTGTTGCATTTACCTTTTGTTGTTACGTTTTGTCATTCTAGAGAGAAAACAACATGCAAATAGAGTACTTCGTGACTATTGCAGAAAAAAGAAAAAAAACCAACCCTTCGCCGACTATCTACGTATATGAAATCTTTTTTCATACCTTCCCATATACACTTATGCAAATGAATGTGCGACAAATAGTTTGTTTTTATAAACGCATAGACTTTACCGCTTTAATCGCTTATGTAATTACCTACATAAATGATTGTATTTGTGGCGCCATTATATCAATTAAAGTATGCTTTGGCTTTCTCTCTACCCCGCTTTTCCTTCTTTTCCGACCCTTTTTGTGTTCACTTCTATTGTACACTTACCATTTTCAAATGTTCTTTCTTTTTTATTTTTATTTAATTGCCGCAAGTTCTCCATGTAGCATACACATTCCACGTATCGCGCCAATCAGGTATATCCCACTAAATGAAGACGTCTGTTATAGTACGCGTCTGTGTGTGTTTTCCTATATATATGTATATAGATATATGTATATAAATATGTATCACACTTTAACGCTTATTGCACAGTTATTGATGGCTTCTTTAAATCAAATAAAATACTTGGTTAAAAGACACTGAATCAATACATATTCATATATACATATATATATATATGTATATAAACATATCTATATGTGCAAGCATATGCATTTATGTGTGTTTTTTATGGGCGTATATGCACTTGCATAAATGTGTGAAAATTGTTCAACTGGTCGTATTAGCGCTAAAATTTACAAATTGATTTTTAAAAGCGTGTAATGACCGTGAAAAATTGTGATTAAAACAGAAATAAAATTCAATAAGTTTTTCATAAAAAAAAAAGAAACGGTTATTTCTATAAAAGACAATTATTTTAAGAACAGCTTTAACCCAAATATAGATTAAATTAGATCAATTAACTTGAAATCTAAAACGTTGTTCAGTGATTGCTCTTACAAAGTGGCTTGCATTTTAAATCTTTTCTTGTCTAGATATATGGTATACTTTTTTTTTATTATTAATGGAGAACATTTTATAAAATTTCTCTTCAAAGGCATTAAAGTTCTTTTTTTATAATTGAGTTGTTTTCGCTGTCCACAGCAAAATGGTTTATATTGCTCCTTGGTTTTGAGGGTCTGATCATGAAATGTGAGCAAAAGGAGTAATATTTGAAAATAGCACCCAATAAGCAACACCATGGCTCTTCTTTTCATTTTTTTTACTATCTTTTTAGCGCCATTTCATTCGTTAGCTACAATCGACGTACAAGTAACGTTGATCCAATTGAAAACAAACTTCCTAACTTGTGCACGTTACTGAAGCATGTGCTGTTTTTTATCTCGGATTTTATATCAAGTACTGTTGCAAAAGATATTCTTAAAAAACAAGGCACAATTCTCACGCTCCTGTGAAAAAAACTTTTATTGTAAATGGTTATACTTCGATCCCCTATTTCATCTACTGGTTTACGTTAAAGTCTTTCTCTCTTCCAAAATCTAAAACTTAGTACAGAAACTGACGATTTATTAACAAAATTTTAATTCATTTTCAGAGAAAGAAATACAATTTCCGCCAATAAGAAGTGTAATTTTCACTAATACCAAAGAATTATATTCGTCTTTCTCTTGAAGATTACTCAATTAATAAACAACATAATAAATCACTAAGTTAATATCCATCTTGTAATAGTAATTTTTCCAAAAATATTTAACCTATCCTCTGAAACCAACACCAATTAGCTGTTGTGTTGCAGATGCTGCATTATACGTCCGTTATTTCAGAGGTTATCCGCTAAACTGAGTAAAGTTTCCTCAAGAAATCAACTTCATTATCGAAACCTTAATTGCCAAATAGACTTCCATTTTTCGAAGCCTTTTTGGACGAAAATTATATTATTAATTATTTATTATATTACCATCCTGAAGATATAAATTTTTAGATTAAAGGGCCACGAATGCCAACAGCTAAGGCTCTTCTATGATTTTATTTACGAAAAAGGAAAAAAAACAAGTAAAAACATAATAGACAGCCACGGCAGCCCATTAATTAACCAACACTATTTATTAGATACAACTATTCTAGCAAAAATTTTCAAAATAACACATTATATGAGAAGTGGTGAAGAAGTGGTTCGATCCGAAGCATTCTCAATACCGTTCGTTTCTGCGTCAAAATAAGTCAATAAGGCTTACCAAATTTAAAAAAAAAAACTCATTTAACGCTGATTAACTCTTACGGAAATAATTAACATAATTAATTTTTTAATCTTAAAGTGAGTTGCGTTAATATTTTCAACTTTTATTTCAAAACCAAAAAAAATGGTTTCTGTGTCCTTCGAAAACTACGACAACTATACAAATCACTTTCAATCAAATGTAAACTGTGGATTAACTATAAAATATAAGAAAGTGACCTGTTTTTGTAAATTATAAAATCGCTCAGCACAAAGATTAAATGTAAAAAAAATCTAAACATTTTCTTTTTTTTTAGGTCGTGGATATATTTTGAAAGGATCCCTCAATACATTAAAAAAATATATTTATTATCAAAAACAAAACTTAATAAAATAAATTTGAATTAGATGCGGGTAATGATCTATTAAACTCAATACACCATACGCAAAACTACACTTATATAAACAAAATCAATAAATAAATACAAAAAGAATAAATAATAATAATATAAATAAACATATTCAAAAAAGCAAATACACATAAAGTAACAAAAACTATAAATTATATTTCGAAACTACAATAACAATCGTCACTAACAGTTACCAGTAACATCGGCGGCTGAGTTATTTGTTCTTTTGAGCGTCAAACTATATTACAGCAACACAATGTCTGAATCAGCAAACAATGATAACAACGGCGATGCAAATAATCAAGGAAATCAGGCGGCCGACGAAGCCGTCGGTGAAAATAAAATGAAATCACGGCTCCGCAAAGGAGCCTTAAAGAAGAAGAATGTCTTTAATGTTAAAGATCATTGCTTCATACCGCGTTTCTTTAAGCAGCCAACGTTCTGTTCACATTGTAAGGATTTTATATGGTAAGTAAATGAAAACTGAAATTGACAATAAATAAAACAGAAAGCAGAAGAAGAAAACGAAAATCAATAGTAAGCGTACTCTGAATTGACGCTATTTACTCAAAGTACAAACAGACTTTTGCATCATTGCCTCAGGTGAAGATTACTAGTTAAACTATTTTACTAGACGATTGCAACATCGGGGTTTAAAAAATCTACAAGCAATTTTCCGGTTACCTTTTAGGGCTTCTTTCAATTTCTTTTCTTTATTTTTCTATTTCTATTAAAAATGCTAAAGCGGCTACCCATCACGCAGAGATGAATAACAAACACGGTTTTACGTTTTCATTAATTGGATATTTTTGTTTTAACGCATTACGGCGTCTTCATCACTTGTAAATTTCAAGAACAAGACTTTTTTAAAAGGGTTGCTTTTTTTAATAATAGATATTTTTATATGTCTGTTTATTCATTTCGTCGTTCACAGCAAATGCGTTTGCGATCAATTGATGCTGCTTGTCTTGGCTATGAGGGACTTTATTGCCTTAATATATTTTCACCCCCAGAGTGGGCCACAAAACTTCTTCACATTTTTCCTTTTTACGCTGGAAGGCATTGATATGCAATAGAGCAACTTGCTAATGGTTTCTTTCATCTCTTTGTCAACTAGTTTTGTGAAATTTTATTCTATTATTATTATTATTAATTTCGCCAGAGAAATAAATTCTAAGACTAAACTCTTAAAGCACTAGCATCTAGATGCTATCGCCTTTTATTAAAAACTCTACCGCACTTGAGATTCGAACCCACGACCATTCAATTTTTACTTACACAGATAAATAAATTTAATTTATACTTATTCTATTACAACAACGTTTCTTTTATGCCGGCCGTCAGGATTTTAAATTTATGTACGCAATATAAATATATGTTTAACATAGTCTGTGCAAAGTTGCTTATTAGGAGCTACTAATTTCATGCCACGTGTACCCGTTTTCGATACACGCATGTACAAATTTAATAATTTGAAACTCACAATGAGAGGGAATATAAGTTTTTCGTAATTGTAAATATTCAACAAAAAATTGCCTCCCATGTACAGTTATCAGTACAATGCTTCTAATGCTGCAATGCGGCGTAACTAAATGAGATTTTTAGACGAAAAACTTCAATTCTTTTACGCTGTAGAGCTTTTTAAAATCATCGAGTCGCTTATCTTAAAAGAGCTTTAAAAGGACTTGACCATTAAGGATATACGTTAAATATATACAAATTTTTAAAAGTGACGGATAAAAGTAGTAGCCGAAAAATAGGTAACAAAATACATTAATAGTAGTTTTCGCCGTCTATAATAGAGAGGTCAACATTATTTTAAAAAAGGAACTAAAATTTACCAAGCCCATGTAACAACTTCAAATACCTCGTAACTTTAATATCAACCAATGGAAGATTATTTTACTTATTGCCTCAAAAGACAAAAAGACTAAATATTAATATGAGTTCGTGAGAGAATTTAGTCATTTCAATGAATTGGCTTCTTTTGGTTTCTTAATGTTAGAATTTTCGAGCACTTATTCCGACTATTTGTAGGCATCGTACAAAGGCTCTTAAGAGAATTAAAACATATAAGCAGACGAAGCAATAATGCGGTCAAGTTAAATGCGCGCTTTATTATATATGATCAATGACGCAGCGGATGTAGCCTGCATTCTTCAAACGGTGATGGGAATAGAGAAAGAGATAGAAAGTCGTCGGCCAATTGGTAACTGTTACGCCTTTATCAAGTAAACATTAACCTTATCTACGAACAAGTACACTCAACCCGCCCAGAGATTTGAACTCGTGACTTCTATCCATTCGGCAAGAGCAAAAGTAATGAATGTTAAAAACGCAATTTTGGGCTTTCCAAGATCAGTGGCTATACACACTGAATAACTTAATAATATTAAATGAAAAACTGTTATTTTATGTAGAGAAATGTCAAAATTATCGAATTTAACCATTTGTATGGATACTTCACATTACTTTATCATTTTCACTGATAGATGCCCCTGATAAAAATACATGCAAGCACCTATTAGATAAATAAATGTGAGAACGAAGCGAACAAAACATGAAAGTATAGCAAATAGCTATGGGGTAAAATTCTTGCAAACCCTGTTAGTTTGTGTAATAACAACTTGGCTTCAATTAAAAGCCCGAAAATGTTTTCTCTACAGAAGAAATCTCATGTGTTGGACAAAAGTCTTTGGCATTTGTCTACACCAACACATTCGTTTAAAAGTTTGATATTTAAGATTTGTTCTAAGGCAAACGTGTCTTCTTCTTTTTTATTCTATCCTTCATTCACCCATAGTTTTTTTTGTGACAAAGATATAAATACAAAATAGTCTATTCCATGGTCAAGGTTAATTACGTAGCTGAAGGATATTCTCATTCTTCGCTGTGCGTATATTATTCATTTCTACTACACTTTATTATGTATATTTAAAAGAAAATATATAGAGAGATTTTCAAAAAAAATCTACCTTTGCCATTGTTAATACATATGGTTAAATGTTTTCCTCTTTACTCTAGCATATACACAAATCCAGCTGACATACCTTTATGTATGTATTTTTTCGCACATAGACGAGGAAGTAGTTATATTAACGTACATCGTTTAAAGCACTTGTTAACTTGATTCAGATGCAAACGTAAAAATAATTTCGAAAAAATTATACAAAAAATTCTATTTTGAATTCTCTTACCTTTTATCCTCGTCGCTCGAATGCTGTTATGCTTTGAATAAAAACATTGTCGTTGTTTAGGGAAACAAAACATAGCGCTTTTACATGCGAATAGGAAGGAAGGAAATCTATGCCACGCTTTGAAATCTTGCATACCCTGGAAATGTGTACGTATTTGTATTAAAATATATCTTGAACGTTTGTAACATTATTTTGCCCTTTAATTGTAAAATATTTTCTTAATTCATACCTAATACGAGGAGATTCTACCGCTCAAATAATTTTTGCGAATCGCTCTATTCAAAGGCGAGAACTAAGAATGAAAATTAGATAAACCCTTTTTTTATGTTTTTATATATGGAATACAGCTAGCTCGGTGCCTGGCTTCATAAAACGCTGCCCGAAAGAATTGTAGGATCCGCATATCGTGAAAAGACCTGCACTAGAGATCTACACATCCTGTCGTAAGCAACCGTAATTACTGCCATAAGAAAACAGATTACTGGTAGTAGCTTTAACATCACTGGAAAAGCATAGGTTCATTATAGACATCAGATTTTACGAATGGTGCTATAGATACACCAGCCCAGTTGAATACAATTATCTTCAATGTTCTGTCTAGCGTCTTTCGACTCATCGAACTTTGCAACGTAGATCAAGACATGAATTCTTTAAGTCGTTTAGCGTTGCATGTGAAAATTCGAACGACGATTATAATCTTATCTTCATGTCGGACTCTATACAAATCGTAAAAATACCCTCCACGGTATTTGGGCACAGCTGAAGTCATAACTTAACAAACTTATGAGGCTAATTAAGTCGTGTGTCATAGTTAACTGACAAGGTGTTGAATTAAGTGGACCGTAAACTTAGTTTTGATTTTCCCTCGTTTTTCTTTTATAATAGGGTATCTCCGTCCAGGGCCGCCACTCACTGTAATCAAGCGCTATCGCCTAAAAATGATAAAGAAAAAAATAAATCATCCTCTCCCCCTGGCTGTTCGAATATGACATCTTAATATTAAGAATTGCTGCTCTCATTGTCTTTTCCGTATTTATTACGCATTTTTTAGGAAGAAACTGAAATTTTAGTGCATTGCTAATTACTTGCCAAGAAAAAACAACAGCCAACGAATAACCAACATGTTCGTTTGTAAAAGCGTATATAAGCACATTTTAAACTTTGGCTACTTCTACAAGTATCAGCCATCAGCCAGCATTAGTGCACAAACTCAGATACGCTATCAAATATAAAACATAAGTGAGTGAGTGTATAGATAGAAAAAGTGAGAAAAGCATGGATGCATCCATGCACTATGTATCCTTTCCGCACATACTATCACTTTTGACCTTCCGGCGTTGCAGTGCTTTTAATATTGAAAACTACTGCATATATATATATATATTTTACATATCAATAGTCTAAGCAGACACGCAAGCATCTATCATGAAAAGCAAACTGCATTTTGAATGGCATTAGTTGCAGGTTAACTACCATTATTGTGGTTTAGCTGAAAAAGAATATAACAAAAAAAGAAAATGACAAAAAGAACGAAAAAATCTATATTCAGCCTAGGGCGAATCTTAAACACCATCTACTAAAAAGGTGTATTAGTTTGTTTAACCTCATTTTATATATATTTAAAAATCTGCATATTTTCTAAACGGTCCATCAGCACCTGCGCTAACGCCACGTTAGGCATGGAAAAATAATTAATAACCAGAAGTCATTGAAAATCTTTCTTCAGCTTTGAACACCAAGTTGATCAGTAGATAGTTAAATTTTAAAATTTGGAAAGTTTAATTTTAAAAATAACAAACAGACGACCTTACAATGAATTGCAACTTCCATTGCAAGAAAAATTATTGTACACTGACGGATCTTTAGGGTGTTAGGTAAGCAGAGACAAAGTGCTTATCAAATTTTACATAGTTTTGCATTGTTTGCATTTTATGTGGCAGGAGACAGTCAGATATGCACGAAAAACATATTACTAGTATATGAATATACCCTTTCAATGATGAATTTACTAAAGCACTTTTAACTTATATAACTTTTCCATTATTTTGTTTTATTTTCTTTACGCCACATTCTACACCCCGCAAAACAAATGTATACAGAGAACATGTTCAAATATTCAGTAATATTTTAGTTTAATTAGTTTAATTTTATCTTCACTTTAGTCAGTAAAGAACGTATTTTAGCTTTGGGTTAAATTTTTTGTGGCAATAATCATCGACATCACTATTATTAAATAAATTTTATAACTTAATGCTCATCCGTCGAGGATGT